TCTTTTTTTTAATAAAAATCCCACCGCCAGACTTTTTTCTAATAACAGCCCTAACCAACAGCCTAACCAAAGGCAACGTGCAAAAAAAAAAACACAACAGACAAGCCCTCGTCAAATAAATGCCAGACATGTCGCGTATTTTTTTATTATTATATACATAATACTATGTTCATATGTTTGTTTGCTTTGAACCGGCACAAATTTTCTTTCAATGTTCCACATAAAATGGAGATTTATTTGTTGATTCTGGTGTGACACAGAAAAAAAGCGAAAACAAGCAAAAAAAGAGGTGTTTATTTTTGGCCAAACGCAATCTGCAAATACCTCAATAGAAATATTAAAAAAAGGACCTATGTCAACAAACAACCTTCTTTACCGCGAAACATTTAACTTCCTCGAGTGTAATGGGTTGGCAAAATACTGGAAAAGAACTCACACACCTTTTGGTACTATTATACGAAAAACTTCTGGCACATATTTGGAATTCCATGGATCAAAAATTGATATTTGGTGGCCAAAACTAAAGCAACTGAAATCTCAAACTGAATACATGACCTATTACTTTATAAAGTTATAGTGATTTTTTTTTAAGAAATAAGTAGGTAATTTCTTCGTTTTCAAATAACAAAAAATATAAACGCAAAATTTATTTTAAAATAAAAAAAAAATATTCTATGGAAAACTGAATTGACCCCATATTTGCATGTTCAAAACTAAAGCAAATCTTTATTTTTTTTCTTATAAATAAGTAAATTAGTAATCGACAGGATAACCATTATTTTTCATTACTACGAGGCATTGAATCAATAAAATGCTCAATTTGATCCTTAGGTATACTGTTCCTTGCATCCTGAAGCTTTAGGAAGATATATCTGTTTGTTGTTTGTGAACCTCTTTTGATTTTTCTATCTATGATGCTTCAAAGATTTTTCTACAGGGTAAAGATCTGATGATTGTATTGGCCATTACAAACTCCTGATTTTTAACTCTCTCAACCAATCTTTGACATCGTTTTTGTGTATGTTTGGTGGTTATTGTCAAGCTGAAACACCCAAACCAGGAGCCATAGCGTTATCAACACATTTGTATAAACAATCCGATCCATTATTTCATAGATCTCGCAAATATTTCAAACTCCATAAAAACAAAAAAACAGCCCAATAACATGAGCCTTTAATTTTTAGACTTTCTTAGGGTAATTTGTTTCCATATCTGCATCTTCAATATTTAACTTTAATACATCGGAGAGCTTAATATTTCCTCACTGAGTCAAATTCAAATTGCGAAAGGCAATTTGGCTTTCCGATTTTTTTTTTCAGAAATAAAAAAGAACTTTCTTGATCGTTCTTGATAGCTCGTCCACGATCTGTTCTTGGGGTTATATCCAATGATAACCGCCTCACAAATTACGTTGAACTCTTAAATGGACATTTTTTTACTGCTATGACAATTTGTTAATCAGTACGAAGTGATGATCTTTTTTTTTGATCTGAATTGTCACTACTGATATAATTGCATAAAATCCACTTATAAATCTGGAAATCACGAATTTATTAATGGAATATATCTCTAAAATAAATTTCTGCGATAAATTATTTCCACAATCACTGGTAATTAGCTGTTTTATCGGAGTACTGTATTTGTTTCTAGACATTTTATATTTTTTTGGCAGTAAGTCAAAATTGAAAACCAAACATGTTTCATGTTATTGTAATAAATCTACACTAATTCAAGAATGTCCCTACAAAATTTTAAGGGAAAATCTCAAGAACTCTTAATGATATATTCGATTTATTGTGTCAGCATCAAGTGACGGCAAGAGTGATTCTCAAACTTATAACGCATTTTTCTCGAAGCCGTGTTTTAAGAATCGTAGGAACTAGGATAAAGTCAATCGATGAAGAACTTCCTAATTTTTTAACTTAGTTTGTTGTCAAAAATAGGCGATTTTCAAAAAAAATTCAAAGTTCCGCTATTTTGTTAATTGTTGTACGAAGTTAATAATCCTAGTTCATACGAGAGCCAGACATGTACTCTTTCTGACACCGTTGGAATTTTCGGATTCCGATTCGAAACGACCCGAGTCTTACTCGGCTAACGTCTGTCACCTCAGCCCGATGTGTAAAAGCCCAATGAAAATCTTGAAAATTTAAAATCGAGAATGGGGGAGGTCCCCATAAGTCATATACTATAAACTCAAAAGCGGTTCTTGATTGCAAAGGTGCTCTGCATGATATACGACAGATAGTTAATTTATGTTGGGTTCCTAGACAACATAGCAACAATGAAGGGAATAAGATAGCCGATGAGCTAATTCGAGGGGTTCGCAGTTGTCCAATCTACCGATTGAGAAATCTGTACATCCTCCGATTGGCTATTTCATTGACAAAATTCGAATGAACAGAACCTGGATGCAGGATTTCAAAAATATGTGGCCAGAGGGGTTCGCAGTTGTCCAATCTACCGATTGAGAGATCTGTACAACCTCCGATTGACTATTTCATTGACAAAATTCGAATGAACAGAACTTGGATGTAGGATTTCAAAAATATGTAGCCAGAGTTCACACGCCGTAGAACTTCTTCGTAGTTACCTCATAGTAAGAGAGAGATAAAAATCATTTTAGGGATCAAACAGGGCACTGCAGGATTAGATCGCCCTTTGCCAATACCTACTGCCCAAATTGAAAGGGCACATGATAGCCCTTCATACTGTCATACTGAATTGTGCTAAATTCTCCTAGAAATTCAGAATGCAAAACCTTACATTTCCTCAAGATGTTTCCACTACTTTACCTATGAGAGTGGGTTTCAAATCAACAAAAAAATGTTGCCCTTTGGCCAACAACAACTAAAAAAATGTGTACTAACCTGCAACAAAAAAAGTGATGATGGTGTAGGTTAATAAATACCGGCGATGGTGGTGGTAGTGGTGTTAGTGTGCCACATTTATTTTGCATACTTGTTGCCGCCCTGACTTTGTGTTCAGTTCTCTGTTCTAAATGTATTATTTATGGTGGGGCCTTAAACATCAATATACATATTTACAAACATACAAAATTCATTCAAATGTATCATCATCATCATAGCAGAGGATGAAGAAAGTAAATGCTATTTTGTGACTAATAGCACTAGACGATTTTCTTTCTTTTTGTTTTTTGTATGCCCAAGACAAGAGTTGGGCAGGAGATGCATTGGGTGGCAGTGGTGGTTTTTCATTTCTATCTTGTTTTTCATGCCGGCCTAACAACCTTATAAGTCTTTTTTATTATTATTATGGTCGACTCGACCATCCGTCCGTCTGTCTTGTTGCTGCTGAAACCTCTTCCATTCTGTGTTTTTAATATCAGCTGTTTTCTTTCAATGTTTTTTTTATGGTTTGCATTTTCTCGTTTTGTTGTTGTATTCGCTGCTGCTTTTGTTGTGAATAAGTACAAAGTGTGGTATGCGACTAACCAATTTACAGTGTTCTTCTGTTGTTGTTGTTGTTTTTGTATTATTATATATTTAAATTGAAGGTACGACACAACACGAACGGCACTTTAGAGGTTTAGCATTTTATTTTCTGCCGCTGTCTACTTTACAAAAAAAAAAAAAAAAACAATAACAGAAAGGCAAGACACCGGCATAATAATATCAACAGAAAAAATGAAATGAAATGAAATGAAATGAAAAAAATACAAATCCACAAACACACATCTCTCGCTACATACAAATAAATTTATATGATGATGGAGAGGTAAGTTTGGGTGTTTATTTATTATATATGGCAGCAGTTTTGTTGTTGTCGTTGTTGCTGCGCTTGTTTTGAAATCTTTCAATATAATACTTTTTGCCTATGGTTGTTGATGTTGTTGTTGTTTTTTTTATTTTCATTATTATTATTTTTGTTGTTGTTGCGTTCAAGTTTATTAACCTTTCTTAATGGCTTAACGGTAGATATTTGTGACGTCATAATAAATGAATATTGTTGTGATAGGGAATGTACACCGTACGGCATACATACACCCGGCAAGCAGACAGAATGACTATGGTGTCTGCTGCTGTTTGCTGATTCAAAACATAAATATTTTTGGTCTGTCTGTTGGCCTTCTTTTGGTGGTATATATACTATATATGCATCGCAATATATACAATATTGTATACGCAGACATATGTATGATAGATAAGTATGTCAAATTGAAATGTTGTATCAAAAAGCAAAAAAAAAATGTATGTTTGGTTATATGTTTGTAGATTCTGTTTATATTAATGGTCAATAGCTAAATTTTGAAGTTGATTAGAACCGATTAGAATGGTTAGGATTTTTTGGAAATGGCAAAGCTAATAAGCACACTTGTTAATACGTAGAATGAGGGTATGACCCCTGCAAACTGCGTGAATGAAAAAAGAAGGAACAAGATCCTCAAGCCGTTTGCCACAGAAATTAGAGTACAGGCAATTAAATCTTTTTGATTTTTCTTTATGGTAGGTAGGTGTGTGACCAATTATAGGAACTCAGATGTGGTCTGCTAGTCAGAATATCGCATTGAAAATGACAAGTTTGTGGTTAGACCAGAGCATATTATGCTACATTTTTATCACGTAAGACCACACAACATTCACATTCCAGAGGATCTGACTATTTTCATATTATATGTATAACCTAGGAGACTTATAATCAAAAACAAATATCAGCTATTTCATTCATAGAAGATTCTAAACCAAGGCGGCAATATATCTGTTTCTATAAAAAACTGAATTTCTTCATAATTGTTCTTAACTTTCTTCAGACTTCCCGTGAGAAATTTGCAATCATTCTAATACTGGCACATCATGTTTTGGGTCTTCAATTTCTGCGATAAAATAATTCAAACTTTTCTAAAGAAACATTTTCCATCAAGTTAACGCAGGGGTCTAAAATTCCTACAAAGTAATTCTTCAAAATTTAGTTTTTCTTCAAATATTTGGAAAATAATAATTTTTTTTAATTGAATTTTCAAAGCATTATATATCATTGTGTCAACTTACCGGTGGTGGGGTTCTATACTGCTGCGAAGGTCCCAATTGTGGACTATAGGGTCTGGGCGGTGGTGCCCAACCTGTCTGTTGACCACCGTATGGTGACTGATGTGGCTGATGCGATGGTGGTGGTGGTCCTCCGTGTTGTGGTGGCGGTGGACCACCTTGTACACCTCCCGGTCCACCTGGTGGCTGTGGCGGGCCACCACCTGCTCCACCTTGTGGCGGTGGCTGGGATTGTGATGGCGGAGGCTGTTGCGGAGGTTGTTGTGGATCATAACTGTTCGTATACCTATGCTGAGGTGGTGGTTGAGGATGTGACGATTGCAACAATGAATTCAATGTGGGTGTTGGCCCCTGTGGAGCTTGTCCTGGTATATAGCGTTGTGGTGGTGGTCGATTTGGTGAACCAATACCGGGTCCACCACCCGGCGCTGACTGTTGTGGTTTACCACCTGGTGGTGGCTGTTGCATTGGCGAATGTCCATAGCGATATGGATCCATATTTGGATCGGCATGATGATAACGACCGTACATTGGATGATGACCGGGCATTGGTGGTGGCGGACCACCCAATGGATTTTGTCCATACTCAGCACCGACATCTTTTTGCGGATGTTCACCGGGATTTTGTGATGACGGCGGTGGTGGTGGTGGACCACCAACAATCTGTTGATGTGGTGGCATATGTTGCGGGTGTGGTGGCTGTTGATGCATGTGATAATGTGACATTACAGGATCACCACTACCCGGTGGTGGTCCATAGGGATGTGGTGGCATTTGTGCCGGTGTATCACTGCCATTGTTGGGTGTTGGTGGTCCACTACCACCGGGCGTACTGCCGACTGGTGCGGAAGATCCGCCACCGGGTGCATTTCCATTGCCACCGGGATTATTAGCGCCGCTGCCACCATTACTGCCAGCTGTTGCTGTTTGTGGGCCACCACCAACAGGACCAGGACCTGATCCAGCACCACCCTGCCCAGAGGGTGATTTTATTTTCTCATTCATTACTTAGTTCACACAATTCTAGTTGTTTTCCGCGTTTTCTTTAGTTGCAGCTTGACAATATGTTTAGTTTTGAGAAACTCCTCCTACTACTCCGCTGCAACCGTACGTAAAGGTTATCTGAAAATATAGGAAGTAAAGAAAAAAAATTATATGGTATGTATTAAAAACAATATTAAGTGGCAAAACGTATAGAGTGACGACTGACAAATTAAATAAGGGAAATACATATGCCCAATTTAAGTCTTCATAAATAGGATGGATATCAGAGAGACATCCCTTTTCAAGACTGGCAGCCTGTTTTTGTAAAATTCTAAACGAACGAATTCGAGTGACTTACGACCAAACCCCTTGGTTTTGAAAAATATGTCATTTATTTTTGTTTTGAATCAAAAAATATTTGTTTACATAAACAAAGGTTTGGTCGTACGTCACTCGAATTCGTTCGTTTAGAATTTTACAAAAACAGGCTGTGGTTCTACGATTCGAAATTACTCGAAAAATGCTCGATCGATGACTAGGGCTGCTCTGCATATCGCTCTTATTGAGAGTTTAGTTATATGAAAATGTAAAACTTTTAAAATTTGTATTGAACTTGCCCCTACTTTTGCTTTCAGTTCTAACCACTACACACGATTGTCTAGACTTCTGTTCTAGATTTTAATTCGTCATACATTTTTCACGGGTAAATTCGACAGGTTCGAATACGATTTGTATTTAACTTCGGGACCATATCTTCTTGATATGTAACTTATTAATTACAAGATTTTCTTTAATATTCTTTCTTTTTTGACAAAAAGTGTATGTATGTATGTAATCAAAAATCAATAAATGATGTTTGCAAAAAAGAAAGCGATATAAACTCCAATCTACCTCCCATCCCCCTCCCAGACCACTTTCGCGATTCCTTTTGTCTATGTGAAATATTCATTCAATTAAATATCCATCCGCATAAATCCCCCCATTTATCGGCACTATCATCATCAATGGCTATAATGAATAAAGATATGAGAGTAGATACACTTTTAATTGCCAACACCCGGAGGAGCAGCAGCAGCAGCACATTTTGCCAGTAGTGTTGAAGAGAGTGGAGTATGACGCAACAACAACAACAGCACCAACAGAAAATAAACGACATATAAATGTATTTACAGAACAGAAATCAACAAAACGAACGAACGAACAACAACAACCAACACAACATAGGGCAGGATACAACAACAGCACAGTAGATATATAGAAAAATCGTAACGATAATAAAATAGCAATGACAGAAAAATGGCAAAGAACCACCGCAGGAAGCAGAGACGGTGGCGACGACAGCAGCAATGACTGTAAACGATTGCAGCAACAGCGGCAGCAAAAGTACCACCGCCAACAACAACAACAACAGTTAAAATCAGCCAGCAATTGACAACGACAAAGAAAAGCTGGAAAAACTAACGAAGAATAAAGGAATCGACTAAAAAAGCTTAAAACAGAAAGACAATAGACATGAGAGAGATAGAGAGAAATAAAATAATCATCTTGTTTTTGTTGATTATGATGGGAAGATGAGTGAGAGAAAATGTTAAAGAAACACACAATTGTATATTCAATAACAAAAGCAACAACAATATTATTATCACAACACAAAACAAAAGTTTCATCAAAGTCATAAATTAAAAACAGAAAAAATAAAACTAAACAATAATAAACCATGGTTTATTGTGAATGCCTGTGTTTGGCGGCAAACAACAAAAACAACATTAAAATTGTATTCTGTGAAATCACCACGAAACACACACACACACCATCATCCAAACAACATTCTCTCAATCTCATTTTAACATTTCCAATTACAATACTCATTCTTCTTCTTCTTCTTCATTTTTAATCAAACGACCCGCAAAAGTAATCCTCTCATATACATATACACACACATGCGAATGCATGCATCCCATCATCAACTTAATAAAAGAACGAAGCAATCAGCGAATACCAGGCATAGGCAAAATCAAGATAACGAACAATAAACACACAAAGAATATGGTACAACAAAATAACACGAAAACATCAACTGAGAAATTCATAACAGAAAAACAGTCAATATGAGAAATAAAGAAGAAGAATACGAACAAATTGTGCACACAACAAAAATAACAATAACAAATGCCAAGAGAAGACGACGCAAGCGAGAGAAGAGAGTAATGGAAATAATATACAGAGGAGTCAAATACAATATGATGCCAGACCACTAACAGCAAAATGTACAAAAAAAAAAAACAGCCATACGAACGACACAACGAAACATACACAAAAAAAGAAACGACGATTAAACACACACACGCACACTCAAGTAATCAAACTATCACACACTCTCTGGTTGACTCTGTCACATTCATTGTTTTCAAACATTCAACATACATAGAGTAGTCGTAGTTGTCATCGTCAGCCGTCCAGCCAGCCGCCAACGACCAACAAAACAACCAACCGACCGACAATGACACACCACGAGTATAGTATGGCTGTGACACTCTCACTTGTGTACTTATATATGTGTGTATATATTTTGAACAACACCATTTGTCGGCCCAAACCAAGTTGTTGGTGGTACACATGAACCGACCGACCGACCAACCATACAAACGAACTCACAAACATACGTACGTACATTTTTTCAAAAAACAGCCTTTGCCATTTGTTTCATATTTTCTGCTTCTTCTTGTTTGTTGCAACGCGAATTTTTGTAAGGCAAAAAATATTTTTTATTAAATTATCATTTTTCTTTCACTACTATATTTTTATTAATTTAAATACTTTATTTTCTATCGAGAAAAAATATATTATTTTTTCAATATTTTATATACACAAAATTAAATTATTTTCTTATTCTTTTTTTGTTAAAATTTACACAAAAACACAGCACAAACGAACGACTGACTGACTATTCCCGGACTTTTTACTTTGGATCTCTCAAAATGAAACTCTTCTGCTGCTGCTGCTGCAGTCACAATCCAACCAACCGAACCGTCAGCAGTCTGTCAATTTTCCTTTTTCTCTTTGCTTTGGACACTTTTTTATTTTCGTTTATTCTTCTTTTGCCTTTAATTCGTTGTAGTCAGCAGCCGAGACCAACCAACCAACGAACAACACTACTAGCCTTTTGTAATGCAGAGTTGTATTCGCAACGTAGTAGATTTGTCCATTTAATGTAATGTTACTAAAAATAATTGTTGTTTTATTGCAAAATGGGCATTACGGTTAAAAATACAATATTTGCACAATTATAATTTTCTATTTGCCCTATAAAATAAATATGTTTAAGTTTTATAGGGTCTGAAGCTCTCCCTCCTTACAAAATATTATTAATATTAAAATATTGCCGTTTCGAATTATCTAACGTAATATTATTCCAAAATTTTGTTTAGAAACTATTTATGTTTTGGTTAATTTCTAGAGTATTTTTCTTAATAATTCCCAAATCGGTTACGTACACTGAATATTACAAGAAAAATATAAAGCCGAAAGAGAAATGGGATCCCAAACAAATAGTGTCACATGTTGGTGGTATTATAATTTATTAATTTTGGACCGGTTCCAATCACTTTTTTAAGTGTAGATTTAACAATTTTGGCATTGAGGTACATATTAGGAAGAAGTGATTATTTTAAATCATTTTAAACCTGTTGAAGTTCTGATGTTAAAAAATAAGTTTAGATGACTGTCCTCTAGTAAAACACGGATTTCAAACCTAACTGAAATTCGAATAGAGTGGGACAATGACGTACTTGAAGCGATTGATATTTTTGGTTCCGGCCTGCAAAAGGAATGAGGCCTAGAAGAACCAATGGATCAAAATGAACTGGCTGAACGAACGGACCTAAGAGAGAGTACAGAATATTATTCCATTATTGCCTACAAGTGTCTTAAATTAAATTAGAGGCCGACAATTACCCGCACATAAAGATAATTTTCAAGCAAGCTAATTTTATTGACTAGGATCAACGAAGTATCAATGCAATAGGGAATCTAAATGACCCTGTATACATTTCTATAAAATGTAGCCGATAGAATGTTTAGAAGTGGACAACCTTCTCCGATTAGAATCTTATATCAGACTATCATGTATATGAAAAACAAGGACATCTAATCGTTTGCATATAAATCCAATTTTCACAACACTTTTAGTGTCAGCTTATACTAGATCCTAAGATCTGAAACGTTTTGAAAGAAGCTAATTTCAGATTTTACTACAATTTTACTTAAAATGAGCCTAAATCGGTGAAGAATTCCTGGCTGAACATTGTCGATCTTTTCTTATGAAACTAACAAAAAGTGGCACATTTTTTATTGCTTTTTGATGGTATTAATGTGTCCCATTCTAGGTCTGACTACCAAATTCCAATATCAAGTTTCACATTTTGCAAGATCCGATGCCGAACTCTTAGAAAATATTCAACTATCCTAAAAAAGTTAATTTATATTTATATCTGTGGCCGATCGTGTCATTGAGCTTGAATCTCTAATACTGCGGAACAAATTGCCTACCTTTGGAAGTTTTATAAGATTTTACTTATAACGATAGTTACCTTAAATTTTAAATTTGAAATATAAGTGGAATTGAGTTGTTCCGGAACGAAGAAGTTCAAATGAACTGTTCCGCAAAAAGAACGATTGGTACTAGATCCGGTTCAATTGTTCATATAGTTCCTGTACATAGTTCCTTTTGATCCAATCGTTCATCTATATTGTTCCGTTCATAGGTAGAATAACCTGATGTATACCCATGAACGATTGAACTAATCTAGTTTCATTTGCGGGAACGAACCGAAAAAGACCTGAATGATAGCTGACGTATCCCAATGAACGATTGAATTAGTTCCACAATAAGAACGATTGGCCTTAAATCCGATTAATTTGTTCATCTAGTTCCTGCACATAGTTACATTTGATCCAATCGTTCATCTATATTGTTCTGTTCATAGGTCGAATTAACTGAAGTGTATCCATGAACGATAGAACTAATCTAATTTCATTTGCGAAGCGAACCGAAAAAGACCGAACCATTTCAGGAATGATAGCTGACGTATCCCAATGAACTATTGAACTAACTAGGAACTAGTGAAC